TAAAAAAATTAAAATAGTAAAAATTATAAGATTTATGTTGTATTTATAATTTTATTATAAAATATTTTTTAAATAAATTATCATCTAAAAGTTTATATTGGATATTAAAACATATTTATATCATAAATAAATTAAACTTGATTTTTATAGAATTTAATATTTTTATTTTTATTTTTTTATCAGTGTTAAATTATTATAAAGTATGTCTTTAAGATTGTAGTTCTAATCATATATTTAAAAAATGTCTACAAATATCTATGACAGAAAAATAAGTTATATTTAGAACATATATTTTTAATAAAAGTTAGACTCAGACCTATTAAATTATAGTATAATTTAGTTTGACCTAGTTTATTTTCATTGCTTGTTGTAATTATAGATACAAAAGTTTGTAAAAAATAATTATAATACATATTTATACTTTTAAAAATTATATATAAAATTTTTAATTCTACAAATCTATAAATATCTAAAATATTTGAATCCGTCACTATATATATATATGTTTTAAGATTTTCGAGGTCACATTTTCTTAGTTTCTTTTTATCTAATTAATTGATGTATCTATGCTTAAATATCGGTTAGTGATATTTTCCTATCCTAATCAGAGAGTCCAAGAAGTTAATGTTATATTTTCCTCGACAAAAAAATTATTGATTAATTAAAGCTGAATTTGTAAAATAAAAAAATAAATGTAACAAACAGTTTAAAAATTGTCTTGTAAAAAATATCAAGATAAACTTTTCAAAATATTCCTGTGAAACAACTGGGGAGAATAATTTAAAAAAACTATTTTGAATAATGATTAATGAATTAAAATAAAAATATATTAAAAGTCATAAGAAAAAGGTATTGAAAACACTAAAATGTTATATTTATTTTAATTAAAAAGATCAGTTTAAATTCTTATCCATATACTAAGGTAATGTTATCAGAAGCCTTAAAAAATAAAATGATTAACTCCTGTTTTTATGATATAAATTGAGTCTGTCAAACATTTTGGAATGAGATAAATCAGACGCAAAAGGAGAAAAACAAAATTGAGATGGGATTGACATAAAACTAACTTCTTATGTTAACGTTAATGAGTACTGCATAGCATAATACATAGACAACATTCATTTAAAAAAAAAAAAAAAAAAAAGCCTTAAATCTACATAAACAAATGTCCAAAGAAGTGATTCCTTTTCTCCTTTACGAGCCCAATTCTCTATATCTATAAGACAATATAACCCCAAAATAAATAAAAAGTACTATGCCAGACCTGTTTGGTAAAATGGAGGTCGCAAACACCACGTTGTGTTCACTTAAACTAACTCCTCAAACTATATACAAGAGCAATAATACTTTAGGGGCCTTGATCCATGTCATTCCATACCACCAAAAATCTACTAAATATATATAATTTTGCAAGAACAAACATATGCTGACATCTATGTTGCTTACACTTGAGTCAGCTACACCTATTCTGTAATAATTTCAGATAAACCTCCTACAAAACCAGCTCTTGAGTGTCCAAGGTTGCGACAACATTCCTTCATATAGCTCTTGCAACATCCTCCAACTTCTCTCTTTTCCAAACTAAGACATACGTGCATAATAGGAGATTCCTGACACTCTTTTGAAGAGCCATCATTTCTGCAACATGCACCGTCTTCTCTCTCATTTGAATTCTCACAGCCAACACACACAACAGGCAATTTCTCGCATGTGTCTGTGCAGCCTTCATAGCAGGAATCCTTTTCTTTCTCTTTCAAACTTGAACAACCATGCATTGAAGCTAATTCACCATGATCATTGTCAATGTCAATCGATATTTCACCTGATTGTTCATGCTGAATGACATGATTGGATGCTAAAACATCTTTGGATTCTTCATGGTCTTTCAGATTTTCACAACCATGGATCAGGTGGCAATGGTTATGAGTAACTTGATGACTTTCCTTTTGACAAGAGAGATTGAGGTTGCAAGGAGATCTTAGTGAAGCTCCATCATGAGTAACCATGTCAACATTTTGGTTATGGCAGTGTTTTGTCCCATGATGAGCCTTATGTCCCGAACAATTACCATGCCTGTTTGTTGCAACTGCTGCTGCACCATTATCTTCTGCATTCAGAATCAAATTGTGTGAATCTGAGCAACCCTTGTTTTCAGTGTCATGCTTCTGGACTCCATCTTGATTCTTGTCACACCTTCCATGATGACAGTGATCATGTTCGTGGAATTCATCATGTTGGTTATGGCTATGATGTTGATTATGATCATGGCTATGATGATGATGATGTTGATCATGTTGGTTATGGGTATGATGTTGATGTTGATCATGATGATGATGATGATGGTGATGAGAGGAACTACCATGAGTGCCACCACATTTCTTAGGTTGAGACGCATTTTCAGTCTTGTCTGAGCAACAACCCTTATGGCTTTGATGTTGATGTTGATCATGATCATGTTGGTGTTGGTGTTGGTGTTGGTGTTGATCATGATGATGATGAGAGGAGCAACCATTAGTGCCACCACATCCACTTTTGTGGATATTTGGTTTAGAGGAAGATCTACATTTTCCTCCATGATTGTGACCTCTTCTCAGAAGTAACATGCTGTTAAAGATGACCAATAGGCATGTTCCAACATCAGCAACAACTGCTGCCCAAACAAGTGGATGACCACCAATGGCCAAACCAAGAATCGCAGCCTTAGTAATGATGGACAAAATAATGTTTTCTACCACTTTCCTACGAGACTTTCTTGCAAGCTTGATGGCTTCTGGTATCTTCCTAATGTCATTTGACATGAGAATTATGTTTCCTGTCTCACTTGCCAATGCAGAACCAGAAATGCCCATTGAGATTCCTATATCAGCTACAGCTAATGCCGGCGCGTCATTTACACCATCTCCAATCATGGCTGTTGGACCTTCATTCTTAAATTCTGAGATGATTTTCACCTTGTCCTCTGGCAAAAGTTCTGCATGGACTAACTCCAGAGAATGCCCCAGCTGTTGATGAAATTAATGTTGCCATTAGTATTTAACTCAGGTTCTATGCTTCCAACATGTCCATGGAAAGTTAGCACTTATTGCTAAGAATAGAGCATAGTCAGATATCTACATATAGAAAAATGAATGGTCTAGTGACTTTTACAACATAAAAAGAAATAAGTTCAACTCACTTGTTAAAGCATATTAATTCACGTTGAAAATATAGAATCTGATACTACTCAAAATCACTCCGGTGACAGCATGCTAGAATTTGGCTATATTGCATTTAAAAAGGTTTAACCATATAATATCACACACCTGCTCCTGTGCTTGCATTGCAGCAGATTGACTATCTCCAGTGAGCATAGCAGTTTTGATTCCCAATGACTTCAACTGCCCTATTGCCTCCTGAACCCCTAATCTGCAAGCATCTGAAAGAGAGAAAAATCCAACTGGGGTTGCTCCCAAGTATATGTATCCAGTGGTCTTTCCTCTTTCAATTTCCCCTTGTATGATTGGAACTACAAAACAAAACCATCACAATGAAAAAAGTATTAACCTCTAGAGAGCATAAGGGCCAATTGTCATTAACTTAAAGGGATATTGAAATGAGTTATATAAACTATATAAGAATCGCTTTCATTAAGCAGAATTGTATTACTACCATGTTACATCTCAATGGTAAAGTCAATTAATTACCTGTTTCAGACCCAGCTCTTGCAGCAATTTTTTTGTTTCCAATGTAAAGAACTCTGTCTTCAATTTTCCCACATATTCCTTCTCCAGGAAAATTTTCAAATTCTGTCACCTTTTCAGGCTGTGGTTCAACAGAGAGTGTCCTTCCATAATCAACAATTGCTGCTGCCAAAGGATGGCTTGACTTGCTCTCTACGCTTGACACCCTGAAAAGTTGAATCTAAACTCATTGATCTCATAATTCAACCATCTTTTTAATCTATATTCGAATTAGCCTTTACAAAACTTAGATACAATGCAATAACTATATTTTATATTCTTCCTCCAATCAGAATTAAAAGTTTATTACAGTAATCTACATTCAAATTTTAACTATTATTCACAAACCATTATTATATGTATTATTAAGATAAAATTCCAATTTTAATTGAAGAATAACACTAACAACAACACTTATGGTAGTTCCCGTAAGTTTTATCCTTTAAATAATTGCATCTTAGTTTTGTCCTAAATTATATTTGCTATAACACAAAAGAAAATCTATCACTATTATTCATTCACAAGTGTGTTTTCTTCTTTTTTATTTTGTTTACATTTGAAATAAAGATAGACAGAAATAGCAGTGTAAGAGAGGGAAAATCCTGACCAGTAAAGCAATGTGTTGAAATCAATGTCATCTGATAGAGACTGAAAATGCGTCACCAGAAATTCACCCTTGGTTATCGTACCCGTTTTGTCAAAGGCAATGACCTTAATTTTAGCAAGCGTTTCAAGATAGTCACCCCCTTTGATGAGAAGACCTGATGTGGCTGCTCTCGTATAAGCACAAAAAGTTGCAACCGGCGTTGAAAGGATAAGTGCGCATGGACATGCACTTACTAGAACAACCAGTGCAAAGTGAAGCCAGTGTTTCTCGTTATGCACTCTTAACGCTACTGGAATCAGCGCTATAAGAGCTGATATGATCACAACAGCTGAAAACATTCCCAACACAAAAATTAATGACTGGGAAAACGAGCTTCTTGTAAATATCATAGTCAAATGAAATATTTTTAACTATAAGAATTAAAAGAGAAAGACGATGAAACTATAGAGATGAAAAGAGTATTTAAAGTTTGAAACAAATGCTGGGGAGAGTTTGACTAACCTGGGGTATAAAACTGGGCAAACTTGTCAATCAATCTCTGAATGCTGGTTTTGCTGTTCTGAGCTTCTTCAACAAGCTTTGCCATTTTAGCCACCACACAATCTTCAGCTAGTGAAGTAGTTTTGACACTAATATAACCTTTTCATCAATCAAGAAAACACATTGATTTCACCAAGTTGGTCAAGGAAAAACAAATATATTCTTCTTATATTTAGTCTTGTAGCAGAGATAATGGAAGCTAAGAATTTAATTTACCATTCAAATTGATGGTGCCAGCCCATACAGTAGAATCCTTTTGTTTAGCGACAGGGAATGATTCCCCAGTCAATGTTTTCTCGTCAACTTCGCAGGTTCCATCTAAGACAAGTCCATCAATGGGTATGACCTCGCCTGCTTTAACTGCAAGGATGGTGTTTACTTTCACCTCATCAGCATCCACAACCTCTCCTGTTTCAGCTATGACTGCTTTTTGAGGGGTTATGTTCATCAAAGATGACATTACTGCATTTGCCTGAATCCACATATTTTCAATTTACAACTTTTCACATAATCACTCTCAGAATTGAAACAGAGAAACCTGCTTTTCTCTTCTACAGAGAACATCAAATGTAAAAAAGAAACGTGGCAGTTTACATTGGCTCATTCATTCACTTTTCCAATAACATTCTTTAATTTCTATTTTTAATAGAATTGTTTTGTTCCTCAAATAAAAATTTTCATTAAATAATTTTACATTAAATTTTTGTTTCAAATAAAAATTTGTATTAAATAACTGTATATTACATAATTGTTCCCAAAGTTATTTTTTTTTTATAAAAATTAAATATAATCTCATTAATCAATTATAATAATTCTTTCAGCTTTAAATCATATCGTGTTTTTAACTATTAAAATTCACCTAACAGTGAAATTAAATGATATGTACGAGATTTTAACTACCAAGGTTAACTTAACACTTGAGTGTTGAGTTAAATAATATGTACCGTAGATTCGAAATATAACTATTATTAAAAAAAAGAAAAATCTAATCAATTGACTTAAGTGTACGATTATTGATACCACTTCAGTGAAGTTCCTTTCCCAAAAAAAAATAAAGTTTTTTTTAACATTTACAATGTTTGAAATACTGCTTAAGAAGATTATGTTTAAGTGTTGACTACTCAAATAACAACTTATACAATAACGTTATTAATATAGTACATATTTTTTTATTTAATAGTAGTAGTAGTAGTATATATATATATATATATATATGGAATTTTGATTCCTTTTTAAGTTATATATTATAATTTTATATATTTATAATAATAAAAATGTTAAATTAGTAATTAAAAATTATTGTTGAAGTTTCTTTTGACACCAGAATTATTGTTGAAGTTAAGAATTAGAGTTTGAAATCTCAGGAGTGCCACAATAAGTATGCTAATGATGGTATGGAATATGTGTGCGTGTATTTGAACAGTGGTCACTCAATAAATTCTGGATCCACCATTAATTCTTGAGCCACCGTTAAACATGAAAATTAAATAAATAAATACCTTGTGACTTGCCCTTGACTCTAGCCATTCAGCAATTGAGAAGAGGAAAACAATGGTGCCGGCTTCCAAATAATCATTCATAGCAATTGTCCCAATAACTGTCAAATAAAATGAAATTAGAGAATGCGTAAATGTTATAATAATATTTTTAATAATTATAATTTAATTACTTCATCATAATCAACAAGTAATATCCTCCCTTTCTTTAAGCTCTATATTAAAATAAAATAAAAACTATTGAACTCTAAAGCCTAAGATTTTGTTTGGAGACAAGTAGTAGAAAGAAATAAGTATATGTGAAAATTGATATGATAGGAAATAAGGAGAAAATAGAGTTGAATAAAGTGAAAATTTTAGTTGTTTAACAGAATAAAAATAAGCAAAAAAATATAATAAAATTGGTATTTATAATTCTTATTTTACCTTTTCTTTATAATATAATTTAAATAATTATTTTTTACATGTTGTAATTTTACATATTTATCAAATTTCACAAGAATTCCTCTCCTATAAAAAGGGTATAAAAAATAATGTGTGACTCATTTCTAATACTTTACAATTCTTCTTAAATATCTTTCACCTGATATAATTTTTTTTCTCCAAATCCACTCTAATCCATTCTAATTTATCCTCCTCACTATTAAATCACCCTACTAAATAAAGGTTAAATTTAGATCTATATATAAAAGTAATTCTATGTTTTCATGTTCAAAATTGTTGGACTATTTTACCCTTATAATTTATAATTATTTTTAATTCATTTACTTACATTTTCTTTTCCAAATCACTCTGACTTCTTAAATAACCACCTATTCTATTATTTCTATCTTTCTATTTTTTATTATTTTTAAAATTAAAAAAAGACGCAAAATATCTCATTTACACCAGTAATTTATAATGATTTCCCCTGTAATTTATCCGCATTCAGGCTACCCTCCATTTGGTTATCCATCCTAATGAAAACTTTAAAATGTCTCTATTACACAAGTAAAAATTCACATAAGACAATCTATCATCTTTTCTAATTTCTACAATTGGAGGAGTTCCAACTTTCTCTCTAATCTACTTAAATTTAATTAATCCTATCTTTTCTTGTATATGGTTACTCATCAAGCACAATCTCCCCCTCTATATTACATTGAACTCAATTATTATCTTATTAACTTTTTCTATTAATTGCAGGTTTTTTTATAAACATAAAAGATATAATTAACAGAATATTTTAAATAAACAATACTTATCTTAGACACTAAAATCAAATATATAACATCGTATAAGTTAATATTTATAAAAAAAATCCTATGTCTACAAAAATACATTTACTCATGTGAACTGTGAATTAATTACTTAATTTGGATAGCTATGCTATGATGTCATCCAGTTTGATTCCATCACGTCTTGTATATATTAGACTTTAATGTGTATCTTCTTTCTTGTTTGCTTCTACGAAATGTTTGATATTTCAGGGGACAAGTTTGTCACTTTCACGCTGCCTCACAATACAAGTTAGTTCATCTGTAATCACCGTTGATGAAAAGGAGACAACCAAAATATTCTGTGCAGTGTGATCACATTTAATTTTGGATGCCATATTAGATTTTTAGCATGTTTTGACTCTTTAAGGCCCACATTTGACATGATTTTTACATCTTGGCCCAAACTACTACTTCTAGCTTCCATGTTTTTTAGCCATTCAACATTTTGTATGTGATGATGTTTACCGAACACATTTTCAAACACACAAATTATATATATGTGACAAATTATGTGCATATTTGTTTTTAAGGATTTAATATTGTTTTCCACTTTGCATGACAAGAATATATGGATTTATTCAAGTTTCGAAACTTGCAAAACAGAATTATCTCTGTGTTTCAAGGATACGAGAATCTTCTCATGTGATTTTTCACGTGATTTTATTAGGTGAGTAAATGAATAAATAAATAAATATTTTTCACATGATTATATTTAGGATTCTTTTTTTGGGTTGAGGTTTTAAGTTTAATGAGAACAAGAGTTTCTTTTCAAGAATATTCGTGAAGGCATTTCTTTATAACAAATTAGCTAGTATCTTGAACGGTTATTAATATAAATTTATGTAAGAAAAAATAATATAAATAGAAGTTTAAAAGTACAAGTTATAAAAGAAATATTAAAGTTATAAAAAAGATATAAGTAATTAATTTTAAAAATTAGAAAATAATAATGGTACTTTAAAGGAAATTGTGCTAAAAAGCTTAATCATTATCAAAAGAATAATTTTAATTATATATATATATATATAGATAAATAAGTAAGGAAAACATATAAATTAAATTGAATGTGAAAGTCCTTTTCTATTGCTCTTTTCAAAAAAGGATTTTTTCAATTAAAAATATATTAAAAAATTAAGATAAAAATAGGAAGATTTTTTGAAAAAGCATTCAATTAATACCTTTTTAAAAGTTAAAGGGTAAAAAAAAATTGCACAAAAGTGATTTTTTTTCAAGGTTCATTTAATGGCATTCTAATTAGGATCTAACTCAGTTAATTGAGTTAAGTATATGAATTATCATAAATTTCTTATACTTAGTTCAATTAAGATAATACCCGTTCCAATGTTTTATTAAATGTTCTCAATTTAAATTATGCAGAAGAAAATAAGGCCGCCCTACCCTTTGTCCTCTAGTAAAAGGGCACAAGTAAAATGAGGAATATATTTTTATTATTAGTAGTTTTACAATTATAGAAACCAGTATGTTGTGCTTAAGCAAAAAAATTACCTGCTATGATCATGAGAATGTTGATGTCAAGCCTAAGGTTCCTAATGGAGAAAATAGCTTTCAAGATGATAGGGTAGGCTCCCACAGCAACTGCTCCAAGGGCCAAATACTTAAAGGGATGGCACACAAATTTGAGAAGCGAAAGCAAAAGTAGCAAACCAGACACAACCGAGTAAGGGCTTGGCCATCTCTTTTGGTGCTTTGAGTCCCCATACACTCTAATATTCGCTTCTAGTCTTGCTTGATTCAGAGCCTTAACTGTCATCACATTCATTTTCGATTCATTATTTCAACCAAATCTTTCGCATCAAAAGCTAAAGTTGCTGATCTTAAAGCAAAAGATTAAACAACCTAACTTTATTCATAGTGCCCAAATAATGCTACAGATAGAACTACTTTTCCACAAGGAAAAGTATATCATTATTTAATTTATAACATTATAACTACCAACTTACATTACAGTTATAGTACAAGTACCTAAATTATAGCATAATTTTAAAAAAATTGTTGCAAAAATAAATTATAATTGGGCATGTAAAGAGTCACTCCAATGAGTATATTTTAATAGTCATGGTAAGTATATTAACTATTTTTTATTTTCTTAAATTTCATTATATATTACAACTATTTATTTAAGGAAAAAAAAATGCCACCCTTATATGTCCCACCTCATTCTAATCATTTTCTTCTTATTAGATTCTCATAAAACTGAATTTAGAAAATTTGAAATAATTAATGTTAGAAACTTAATATTAAAAAACAATTTTGTTCGCTAATGAATTAATCTTAAAACCAAAATCCAAACAAGGTTTGCAAATTCACTTTATTCATAACCACTAAGATCAAAATGTAAGATAATATGCATAATTGCTTATGATTAAACTTGGCGTGACTATTGTAAAAAATAATCCATCTTTCTCACTGCAAACATGAAATTTGTGGACTCTAAACAAGCACATTTAGTGGTTATTTCCGTCCATGTGAAAAAGTTAAGATAAAGGGGCATTTCCTTTTTGGTTAGTAGTGCATCAACACGTTACGTTTTCAGCAAAAGGAAACTTTGTGAAAAGATGATAACAGGTGCTCTTATTTCATGGAAAAAAGATGAGGAAATACGCAAGATCATCAGCGTAAGCAACCCCTATGCCCTCTTCTGAGCAAACTTTTAGGCTTTACAACCCCAAATACGCATTTCATAATTTAGTAAAAAAAATATTCTATTTTGTGTACCTTAACTTATTAAAACAATTATTTACCCACTAGAATCATAGGAGGTTTGAGTACTTAAATTTATATTTCATTGTCGTCGTGAATGGCATAAACTAATAAATTTCCAAACAGAACTCCTTTTCACAATCTATCCTATAATCCAAACACTCAAGAGAATCTTTCATCCCCAATCCTGTAACTGTTGAAAAATATAAAATATAAAAATTAAAAAAAAGGCAATCTGGTGATCCTAATCTGAGACGTTTATCTTCAAACAATGCACTCCAATGTGGAATGGTCCAACCATGACAGATAAACTTTGGCATAATTGGCTTCACCATCCCATGTGATTAAACACACAAGTTTATGTGTCACATAAGAAATATGCACGTCACAAGCTTCACTAGGATACCGTGTTTGGCACAGGCCAAAATCCAAAATTATCAAAAGTAAAACAGAACAAAGTGATTGGAATGAAGAACAAAGTGATTGGAATGAAGAAGTTACCTATTTGAAGTTGAGAAATGACAAGAGTGTCGTGAACAACAATGACAGTTCGTGATGGGACGATGACAGAAACCTCTTTGATTCCTTCGAGAGGTTTCAGGATGTTCTCAATCAGTGGCACCTCCGAAGAACAGCACAAACCCAACACATCGAAATAGCTCTTCTCAAATTTCTTCCCCTCCTTGCTCTTCTCCTTAAGAGACATGACGAGAGAAAAATTTCGGAAACTTTGGTGAAAAAACCTGCCACCCCAGAAAACAATTAATCACCCCAGATGAAACACCTTTCTAATTGAACAAGCAATTTTTAAGATATGAAAACAAGGATCATCTGAATTTGGTCAATTTCCGAAACTTGTCAAACTGCAACATCTTGTGACAAGATAATGATGATCATCATATACATGGCGGTTGAAGGAAAAAAGATTTTATTATTCTTATTCTTATAAGTTAAAAGCTGAATCAGAGAAGTAAGAAAAAGTAACAGTTAAACTGAAGCCTTAAATGAGGAAAGTAGAAGCATGCATGATGCGAGAGTAAATGGTGAAAAACATGGTCCAAAGTAAGAGGCGAAACGTTGGAAAAAGAAAAAGAAAACCACCTTGTTGTTAGCAGAGAGATAAGGAATATAGTGATATATGCTAATGGTGTGAAGCGGTGCAAGAAGAAATGGGAGTTTAAGTAGGCAACACCTCGTGGGGTATATAAGGGAAAATAAAAAAGATGCACTATGGTTTGAAAAGACAGGAACAGGACACAAATTATTTACATTATTTAGAAATTAAGCTCTAATTACCCTCAGAAACTTCAATTATTTTCTTAACAGTTTCTTTTTTTTTGGGTGTCTTCCTCGTGTGGATGAGACAAGGGTGTGTAGTGGAGAATCAACAAGATTAATGGAATCCACCTATGAATCCACATTTTCTTGTTATTTTTAGTACAACAGGTTCAAAACATTCAAGTTAAATCAACACAAAGCATAATCTTTCTTTGATATACCCGACTAGGTAAATTCAATTGCTGGTTTACAGTGACCAGAAACTACATTCAATTAAACTTTAGTTTTATCACGGAGTAACCAGATCAATCGATAAAAAAAAAAATTGTTTTAGTTAAATCAAAGAGTTTCTAATTCGAATTTTAAGTACGTAGTTACAATAAAATTTTAAGATCGAGTTTTATTACATTCTACCTGGTTCAATAAATTGTTATCTCCAATGAAATATATCTAAGATATATGTGATCTTAAAAAATAATTAAACTTTATTTTATTATAATTGCTTTATAATTCCAAAAGGAGAAATTTAAGAGTTAAATTTCTATAAATTATCCCATGGATTACAAGTTTCTGTGGATAAATTTATTTATAAACATTTATCGAATAAAAAATAAAATAAAATTATTTGTAAATTAAAACTAACTTTTATACAAATTAAAAATCATGATTATGAGAAATTAATATTAGAATTTTTATAAATTAATTTATATATAAATTTATTTTAACTTTTATAGAAGTTTATTTCATTTTATTTTAATTTCTAATATAGTGTTAAATTGAAAGTTTTTATCATATAAATATTTACAAATTTAATATTAATCTAAAATTAATTAATAATATACATCAAAATTGATAGAATATATGTTTAAAATATATAAACATATTTTTTGTCAT